CTACTACTACTACTATCACTACCACGGCTACTACGGCTACCACGGCTACAACGACTATGACAACAACGATGACGACGACGTATGAGTTTCGCATTGATGTGTAGTCGTTTCTTCAAGAATATGTGATCTGTTACAACGTTTAAGACGGATGGAAGGTTTATGATGCCAAAGATGCAGAACCCGGTAGAAGTTTAACATGCCACAGGAAGTAGAAGCAAAGCCTCTGAACTCCGGAAGCCAATAACCGAGCAGAGCCCTAGAATCGAGACCCTCTACCCGACCCCCCCGTCCGCATCATGGGTCTCGAGGAGTCCAGTGTGCCCGGGCGAACAAGCATGCAGAGGAGGGCCACCGTTTTCTCTTTGGTTCAGTCTTAAACTGCTGAAACCACCTCAAACGAGGAGCTTCCCGGGCGAGGCCCAGTTTTCTGCTCAAAGTCTCGAGCCTTCCCCTGTAACACTGCTGGGGTCTTGAAGCATAGGTGCGTTGAGCCCGAAATATCCATGCCTGAGTACTCCTCCCACGACCAAACCAAACTCTGGAAGGTGCTCCTCTGCATGTCAGCAGTGCCATATTGAAAGCCTGTAAAGGTACCTTGTTCACCAGCTGCTTGGTAATTGGGTTGCGCACTTCGAGCTATTTTCCATCAGCTATCATGGCAAGGTAGATGTGGTGTAGTGTGCAGGGTGAGTGGTAAAAGAGTTCCTGAATGGATTTGCCAGCGTTTTGTTGCCCACTGGCTCCGACGTCCCAAGCTTTTCTCCGAAGGATGTGACACAGTTGACGCGAGCTGGCCCCTTAGCGATCACCCGCCATTAGTTTTGAGCTTGTCTTGCACAGGACTTGAGGTTTCAAGTTGCGGGACTTGTCAAACGTGCACGAAAACGAACTTTCTTTAGGTGCCTGCCCGAATGTTCTAAACTCCACGCGCACGAGACATGAACCTGCTGAGATGGCTGATCGCGGCGATCCGCCTCCATTGTGCCGCCAGCATGTTTTTTGCATTTGGGGAGCTGTTTGTTGTATCTGGTCAAGACGTGATCAAGCCAGAGCTAGTGTGTATCTCAGTTTGCCTCATTGGTTGAAGTGCATGTTTCTCGGAGCTTGCAGGATAGAGTGCAGTGCCTAAGCATCGGGGGCAGCAGGGCCCTTGACCCACGCGGCCTCGAAGTTCCGCTGCATGGGAAGGCATCTTCTCCGTCGGTGCCTACAGCGAATCTGCGATCTGGACACTTGGAACTGCCTTTGTCAGACGCGTGTCGTGTTGCGCTTATCACGGTCAGATTTCCGCATGAGTTTCTGATACAGCTATCTTCACTGATTTGTCGTGTCTGTTGTCCGTTGCTCTTGCTCTTCTTGTCGGTGACAACGCTGTCTTGCATCTGCCCATCAGTGGATGGTCATCCGAGTCGACTAAGGCTTTGGTGCCACTACGGATTTGCTGCAGTGCCAGTACTCCTGTGCATAATGCTATACTTACGCACTGCATAATTGCTTGTCGTCTTGCTGTCAGTCATATGGACTGTCATTTATGTTCTGCAATCTCCATGTGCAATCATTGCAAATTATTGCTGCAGCACACGCTTTCAGTGTAGCGCTCGCATCGGTTACGGTCATCATCGTCATCATCATAATGATCACCATCGTCATCGTCATCGTCATCATCAACAACCTCCTCCTCTTCCTCATCATCACCCTCATCATCAACATCATCATCATCATCGTCATCATCATCAGCAACCTCCTCCTCTTCCTCATCATCAGCATCATCATCATCACCACCATCAGCTACAGCATTAGCACAACTAGCAGGATTACACGTGCCAGTGATGATCATCGTGCTACTTGAGCCGTCACACTGGCGTAACATGCCCAGGTGCTGTCGAACGCGTATCTCTTTCTGTTGCACAATGTTATTTCATTGTTGGTCCAATCCAGCCGTCATAAGCAATGATGCTCTTGTTTACATCGTTTTGTCTTACTTATCATCACCGTGATACAGGATACTTTCTGCACTCTGCTCAAGGGCCCTTACGTTCGTGTCCCAAGGACGACGGTGTGACGACATTGCCCGAACATCGCAACGTACAACCTCTTCTGCAGCGAGAGAAGAAGATGTGCAACACTAGCAAAAACCTTCATGCACCTAATCCTGAACTCTTTGCCGAAATACCATTGAAACCTGAAGACACTGCCAATCGCCAGTCTAAACAGACCAAACCGCCGAGCCCCCCAAGCCCCGAACAGGCCAAAGCCCTAAAGGCCTCAGCGGGCCCCTAGTCTCTTGGCCTCAGGAGATAAGTTCCTCGGGCGGCGATGCCCTCCTTTGGATGGTCGTGGGCCGAGCCGCGTTGGAAATGTTGGTTTTTGGATCATAGGTTTTGGCGCAGGTCTTGGTGCACACTTCGTGTTTGAGACTGAGGCTTCGGGTCCAAAGCCCATGGGCCCATGGGCATTCTAGTGTGGAGAGCAACTTGCCTGTTCCGGCCGTCATGGTCGTACACACCCATCCTAACTCAAAATCCCCACTCAGATGCTAAAGCGTCACGGCAGTTCTGCAGGTCTCCCCTGTATTGGAGGCTGCGCGGCGGCAGTTGATGCAGGCAGCGTATGGCAGAAGCGCCTATAACATTCTAAGTTTAGTTTGTCTCTCAGTGTTTCATCAGCAGACAATGGGATGATCGCATAATTAGCCACCCAGCTACCTATCAATAGCTCAACATAACGATCGCCAACAAATTGCAGGTAACTTGTTCGTCATCATAGCTGGATATGTGATTCGCGAATCAGGTAGACACCAGCTGTTGCCAGACGGAACGAAAGATAATTGGTGCAGTTGCAGCAAAGATCCAGGGTGGTGTTGCGAATGATAGTCTTTGTGATTGTCTGCATCGTCGTACGTGTCTTCGTAGCCGTTAGGGCCGTTAGTAGCCGAAATGCTATCGTAGTCGTCTTAGTATGTCTTAGTAAGTAGTGATATCTTTAGCAGCACCATTACACAGCATCCAGTTCCAGCATCATCATGCAAAGCTGCATCGTTTCTGTCGTCGTCGCCACCACCGCCACCAACATCATCATTATCATAAGCAGCAGCATCAGCACCAGCATCACCATCACCATGACCGTCACCGTGACCATGACCATCACCGTCATGGTCACCATCACCATCACTATGAGCACGTTGTCGTCGTTGTCATGATCGCCCTCGCAAGCACCTTCATCAGATCTCGACTTCATCTTCGCCATGGGCATGAGCACTACCAGACCTTAAGCACTTCTCGGCGTTTCCTTGTCAGTCTACACTGCGGCGCAGGACAGCCAGGAGCGGAGGATGGTCGAGGCACCGATTTCGCTTCAGCTCCTGGTGCTTTTGGTGTGTGAGGGGTGAGGATTCGATTCTCGCGTGTGGTGTGGGCTTCAGGATCAGGGGTCGGACCTGAGTTACTTGATGGAGTGACTCTTTGTAGGTTTAGATTGGCACCCAGAAGATTAGACACGCCCTAACCCGTTGCGCTCAAAGTATCTTGGGCCCGAGGGGCCATACTGAGAAGAGCACCGGGTTTTGCAGCTTGCATGCGAGCTTCTGGCATGTTTGCTAGCCCAGAATTCCCTTGCTGCAGCCTCTTCTGCAAAAAGGCAGAAGCGAACACTTTTCGCCAGCGTTTGGAGATGTGCGCTATGGAGGTGCGTGCTAGACTCACTCGGGCTTGTGTTTGACGCCGGAAAGGGAGAACTCGCTGGAAGGGTGCCGGGGCCAGGGGAGAGCGAAGACAGCTGGGCTTTTCTGCGTGGCTTTGGATCTCAGACTGGAGCCTATAGGGCCCGCGAGACCACTCCTTTCATTTGCAGTCGAGACTTGCAGTGACTCCTGTAACCCAAGTCGAGGCACACTTCAGCAGAGGCATGCTTTGGCTTGTCTTTGACAGGTGGAGGACCAAAGGTCGAAGCATCTGCGCGAGCAGGACGGGCGTAGTAAGCAAAGACAGTCGAAACAGAGATTTCTAGGTTACCATTATCGCTTGGCACCTCAAAGATTACTGTCGTTATGGGTTTCTGAATGATTCTGGTAGACAGAGACACAGATGATCAGCTCATCCAATCCATCCCCAGTTCTCTGGTGGTCAGGGTCTCTTGAGAGATGTTGTGTTGATGGTAGGCGGCATGTCATGCTTTTTGCAGGAAGCTGTCACAACCACCCGCCCTGCGTCGACCGTAGCGCGCTGCAAAGAGGGGCCCAATGCACAACCCGAAATCCGCCCGCTGAAAACCTAGTGACCTAGTACATGGCGCACCTAGTTGGTGTTGAATGCATTCGGAAACTCCACAATCGTTATGGACTCTGCGCGACGAAGCTGAACTCTCCCCGAGACGAGCTTCTTGAAGTCTATGTGAAAAGCACCAGACTTGGACAGAACCCAGGAGCGAATCAGAGTTCGCGTCCGTCAACAACAAGAGACGACCAAGGCCTTTCCAAAGTTTGACCGGGAAGGCTTACGGGGTTTGGGCTTTCTACGTTTCCGCTTTCAGAGGGTCCTCAGGCGGGCTTGGGGTACATGATGCGATGTTGTTGCAGGTTGTGTCGTCTTGTGAAGGCCTGAGACCCCGAAGGCACCAAAACTTCAAGCCATCAACGAATGAACACCAAGCCTTGCCTTCTCGGCCTCAAGAAGGCCATGGTGATGAAAGCCTTGACCCTCCTTGAAGAACGCCGCGAGCTGGAGGCTCTTTTGGGCACTTGTAAGAGAGGTCCTGCCGTCTGGGCTTGAAGCGTCCGAGGGCTGCTCTTCGAGCGTCCTGTGGTCTGTCGCTTCCGCCTTTCATTCAACTTTGGGCCATCCGTCACGCCGAAGATCGGGGTGTTCAGGAAATTCAACACGCCTAGAGTCTGGAAGAATCATGCATGTCGGGAACACGATAAGAGGCAAGAGGAGTCATAAGAGTTCCTGGAGTCGAAACACAACGAGAAGTGACGATAACTTCAAAAACCATGGGGAGAACCAACGTAGCTCTAAGTTTCTGGGTCACCTTGCCAAGAAAGCTGCCATAATCGCGAGGGCGACTAGACAGTCGTAGCAGTCGTACGGACCCTCAGAATCCCCACCGATTTGGGTGGTGAGCAAGTTGAGGCGAAACTGAAAGTGTCGTTGCCGTCGTCACCATGGCTGATCGCCATCATCGCGAGCATCGCCATCGTCTCGTCGTCGTCATCATCAGCATCATCGCCACCATCGCAGACATCTGCCTCGTCTGAGGCCCCCCCCGTCATTCCCATCATCGTCTTCCCTCATTACACGTCGAAAAGTCTTACATTAAACTTAAACCTTACTTGGAGGTTCATGGGTAGTCATAAGTTAAGTGGGGTTACAAGTCCCCTAGTAGGTCTTATAAATATAGTTACCCTACGTATAACCCTACTTATAGCTACCCATGAACCTCCAAGTATGACCCCTTGTAGACCCCTTATAGGACCCTAGGGAAACTATAGTTATAACCCTATTAGGGGACTTAGAACCCCACTCAGAACTACCCATGAACCTCCAAGTATACTTAAACCTTAAACCCTAAACCCTAAACCCTAAACCCTAAACCCTGAACCCTAAGTCTCGTGCGGAGAAAGAGGCTATTGCACTTAAAAAAAAAAACCCTAAACCCTAAACCCTGAGCCCTAAACCCTGAGCCCTGCAAGGTCCAAGCGCTAGAACGCCCCAAAACCTCCGGCAGGCCGCCTGCCGGCAGTTGGAGCTGCAAGCAGCGGTCCCAACAACGTATTTGAGGTCCAAGGCTTCGATTTTAGTGTTTAGGGTTTGGGGTTTAGGGTTTGCGGCTTGGGGTTTAGAGGTTAGGGTTCAGTTCGCAAGCTTGCGGTTTTCTACGGTATGCGAGCGTCGGAGCGTAGTTTCACTGCTGAGTCGCTACGCCCTCTGACTGGATCTTGTAGACCAAAGGCTAGCTTCCACGTTCGGGTTTTCTCAAGCAGGTTTCGGATTGAATCTCGCTTGCACGCAGATTCATGGTGAGGTTCTGGCGCATGGGCTGTTGGTATTTGCGGCATGGCCTTCTGGGTGCATCTTCGACAAAACGCCTCCCCCTACTCTCAGATCGTCAGCCCGAATCGGTCTATCGGCTCGAGAGCTTCGCTGGGAATGCAGATGGCATGGCAGTGTTAAGAGGTGTTTGGGCTTCACAGAGCTATCGTGTCTTTAAGGAGGGAGACCTTCGGGACTTTGGGATGGTTTAGAAAAAAATGATGGACGCTACATCTGTTGAGTAAGTCTGGCCGCCGCGGGAATCATGGTAAGCCAGGACCCGGGGAGTCCACTTCCTGGCTTCCCTAAGCCCTCAAAGCCTCCGGCCTTTTTTGCGGCTTCTGAAGGATCTCCAAGTTGCCCCAGAGGCTCCGAAGCGCCTCCAGGTGCTGGTGCTCCACGGAAGGTCCGAGCGCCTTGAGGCTTTAAGACTTTTACTGGAAATTCCGAGGGTTCCCTTCCTGGAAGAGAGAGGCCGAGGGGTTCAGAGACCTCGAGCCCTGGAGGCTCTCCCAAGTTCCCTGCATGTTCCCCAGGCAGTCCAACGCGAATTTGGCCAACTTCCAGCAGCTCGGCCATCCCAAGAAGTCGACAGCCCAAAGCAGAAAGCCACCAGAAAGTTCCTAGCTGAGCTCAGGATCTCGGGATTGAAGACGGCTTTCGGAAAGGACGGTGCTTTGGGGCTCTCGGGGCGAAGGGTTTGGCTTCGGCTGGCCCTGATTGGCGAATTTGGGTTTGGGAGAACGGCTATGGTCCGCGCCGTAACTTTAAGATATCTTCTCCAAACGGGGGTAAGCTCCAATCAGACGTGACTCTGCGTGAAGGCGAATCTTTGGACTCTGTAGTGGGAAATCGTTTCTTCTCTGTTGCTGCTGTACAGTTACGTAAGCCTTCAGCTTTCTATTCTCTAAGCCAGGGCTCGTGCTCCGAGACACTCAGCTGCTAGGACGTGGACTTCGACTTCTTGGAAGGGGCCCTGCCATGGACCTACAGGCTGAAGCTCCCTGCATGTTATATACCACACATGGGTGGTTGTCAAAATTATGGTCCCTCTTTGGGTCCGTAATATAGTACGGCACCTAATATCTAGGGTACCCAAAAAGGGACCCTAATTTTGACAACCACCCACATTCTCCACATACATGCGTGTGCTTTTTCATATACGCAACTGTTCACCTTCTGGGGTACCTACTCGTTACTAGCCAGAATAATTTCTCGGCCTTGATTGGTGTGTCGACGCCAGCAAGCAGCACATTACCATTCTCCATTTCTGGACACCGGATTTCAGTGTAGATAGTGGAAGCTTGTGAAAGTATGAAGATGCCTGGGACGGGTTGGGGGCATGTTGGAAGTTAGTTTTTGGTTTCCACCGGAAATCAGCACCTCAGCACACGTACGGAGAATATTGAAGCAGTTGTAATTCAAGCGGGAACAGCCAACCAAGAAACGCCTGCAAGCCCCGAACCCCGAACACGGAAGGCCTGGCGTGGACTTGCACGATGCGGACCCAATGTCCATCAACCTCTCCAAGGGCAAGGAGTTCAAGGCGCCATTTGGGGCTCGAAGTAGAGCCACAGCTCTTGAGACTTCAGCCCTCTTGTGGAGGTTTGGGGGTAGGGGGGGTCTGGCCGGCTTCAGAGTGCTTCAGGTCTGGATTCATGAGGTACCAGAGACCACGAAGTGCAGGTGTGGTTCACGCACACCACGGATGACAAGAGAGCATCCTGGCAGATTCAGTCGGCCAGACAGGCTCTCTGGTTTCTCGTTCCTGCTCTTGAGCGGCCTGAGTGAGGTTCAGCTGCGCTTGGGGGTCCATTGTAAAGGTGGAGTGTTCTGGTAAGAGGAGCCTGAAGATATACGTCTTTCGAAAAACTAGACCCATGGCTGCGCTATGAGGACCGGCCGGATCTTTACAAGCAGCAGGACCCAGGCGCGTGGTCCCTTCGAATTCAGTGCAACAAACAGGTCCACGGGTCGGTCATTCTCTGTTCGTCGTCACTGAACATTGTGCTTCCCCACAGCTTTTCACAGCATCTGATCTCGTTCTAAACCTTTGCCAGCGGTGGCTCAAAGTGATTCCGTCACCCCAATCTCCAAAGACTTCAGGCATCATTATGCGGAGTTTTGCCACAGAAGCCTTTCTCGGTTTTGCTGACCCAGCCATACTACTGCTCCTTCTCCTGCTCCTTACACCACCACCACCACCGCCACCGCCACCGCCACCGCCACCACCACTCCTACTACCATCACCGCCACGCCTATATATTAGCACTTGTGCTGGTACCGGCGTTCAATCATAATGTTCGTGGTGCGTGATTTCTTGTGTGTTGTCCCACAAGGCCGCAGGGTAAGCCCAGAGACCATCCTAACCCCTAAACCACTGAAAGGCATCCCTCCCCTAAATCTGGCAAGACAGCTGCATCCCAAGCGCCCGACTTCCTAGTTGGATACAGCCTAAGTTAGGGCCGAAGCGTGAAGCTCGAAGCCTTCTGAAGGTGTCTGTGTGACCTACGACGGCGTAGAAGCTGCAGTCGAGATGCTCCTTGACCGGGTGTCGAACGGCCCGCGAGTGGATGTTGTCACTTCGGCTTAATAATTCGAGCAGGGGTTTTGTGTCATGTTTCGACTGTTTCATTATGGACCACACGGGGACATTCTTGCAGAAGTACCTTGGGACTATAAGTCGACATCATTGCTAAGCATTCATTCTTGTTGAATTCGATGCTGGTATCGGGGGCACAGCGAACAGTCCATGCAGCTTGGACCCAACCGCCCTACTTCCGCCAACAAAGGAAAGATCTTTGAGGTCCCCACCTCCATTTGCAGTACCAATGCTAGGTAGGGTTTAGGGTTTGTAACTGTAGACTTGTTGATGGATCTTGGCTTCGCAGCTCCACCTGACGAATCTGGGCATGGGGCAGGTTTTTGAAATGCCCTGCAGCTGGGATGATTGCCATGGCGAAGTTTCCTCATAACTGAGATGAACAGGAAGCAGAAGTGCCTTCCTGTGTTGGGCTTCTACGCAGTGGTGTGCAAGTTGAATATCGTTAGTGCCGAAGTCTGAGTGCGACTTGTATGAGTCATCGGGAGCAGCGAGGTCGTCGCGATGTTCGAGGGCAGCATTGCAACTTAGCTGCAACGGTGCAGGCTCTCCTGTTGGCAGAGTGTGCACGGCAGCCACGCGTGGCTTCCTGGTGCTCACAGCGCCGTGGGTCATTTCCAAGACTACTCGGGATGTTGAAAGTACCCGCTACCCTTTCCAGATCTTGTCTATCATCTCTCATGAAGCCGGGGAACAATAAAACCTAAACCCTAAACCCTAAACCCTTTTTCTAAAGCATTTACCACACAACGGGCGTCTAGGATCGCTCCTCACATGCACTGGGGGAAGGCCCCGAGGGCTTGAACAAGTCCTTATCCATAACCTGAGCTAGGCCCCTGAACCGTTTAATCAAAAAGATCATTATCCACAACCTTAGTTAGGCCAGTGGCAAGACCTCTTTGAGCAGAGGTTGTGCACCTCGCTGCCGCCAAGCTCATGAGCCAGGGCCAGAGTGTGCCACTGGGCCTTGAAGCGCAATGGGCCTTAATAATGGCCAGCATTAGTCTCGTAGGATGGTTTACTACAATCCTAAACCGTCTTCTGATAATTCAGGCCACAGCCGCAGTGTCGGCGCCGTGGGGAGCCAGGCAGCTCGACCCCTGCTCAAAGCCAGAATCCTGAACCCGCAGCACATCCTGCACAAGTTCTGAGGCACGAAATCTCCAAGATCCGGTAAAGGATTTTAAGCCAGAGCTCAGCAAAAGCCTCAGGAGCAGCTTCAAAGCTTCGTGAACTCAAGTTTTCAAGCATTGCTCCGCCGTATTGCGCGATCATGCACATGGAGGGAGAAGAGGGGAGAAGAGATGCAGCTGTTCAGGTTTGCTGAAGCCACAAAAGAAGCTTTATCCTGTAATCAGAAAGTTGCGAGGCATATTGCTTCATCAGCAAGTTAGTGGCAAGGTGCCCTTTATACTGAATTTTCGTCGATGTCGGCGCCCTGAGGCCCTGGCCCGTCACGGTGTTCTTCGGATCCCTGCCCATCCGCGATGTGCCCGGGTGAAACACGAGGAGGGGCTAGGCCCGGTTAGGCAATAAGGTTATAGTATGTTATAGTTATAGTTACCCTACTTATAACCCCACTTATAACTACCCATGAACCTCCAAGTAGGCCCGGTTAGGCAATAACAGGAGTTGGAGGATTCGGGACAATTGGGGCTCTGGAAATTTCTTAGAGGTATCCTCGCAGGAGGGAAGACTGCCGGGCTCAGGGATTGCTATAGATCTTGGTATTGCGCCATGGTTATGGGACCTTTCGTATTTCTGGGATGCAGGTTTCTCGCTGGTGCCATATATAATGCAGCAAGTTGGGTGGTAGCAGTTCCCGTCTCTTATCTGTCTCGTTGTACAGGCAGCAGCAACAGTATCATCAATAGCACTTGCCATATCAACATGCCCTTTCATCATCACCATCACCATCATGATGATGAGGATGATCATCATCATCATCATCGTGCTCACAGTCATCATCATCATCATCATCATCATCAACATCAACATCATCATCATCATCATCACCTTCATCATCATCATCATCATCATCATCATCATCATCATCATCTTACCTACGAGCATCCGCATCAGAATGGTTGGCATTTGTATCGCCATGTCTACCGTCTGCA